TACTTTGTTATTAGTCATTATCTCTATGTAGCTATTTCTATATCTCATATGAGTTTCGCAGACATAGATCAACAAGAAGTTTGACAGGTTTATTGGTCCTTGGAATTAACAAGGTATGGCGAAGGGAAAATGATGGTCTTATGAAGATGAATGCCGACTAATTTAGTCATAGGTGGAGCTCATCTTATCTCATAGAATTGGAAGATCTCAAATTAGTTTCTATTTTTATTACGTAGTAGTTGAGATTTGAGATGTTGGAGTGTATATGACATTTGGATTGTAAATAATAATGCTTGTTCTCAGCAATGGAGCACTTTGTTTGTAAATATGCTTGTTTTTCACTTAAGAATCAAAGACTTTGTAGATATGTATCTTTTGTATGTAACCAGACACTTCATGTCGCGTTCATAGACAATTATAATTAACACATTTGCCTGTTCCATCGTCTATTGCCTGTGGACCTGTGATCAAACATTTCATGTCTGGTTCACATTCAATTCCACTTAGCACATGAGCTCATTAGCCCATTCAGTGGTTATTGTTTGTAACCAGACACTTCATGTCACATTCACAGACAATTCCAGTTAGCTCATTTGCCTGTCCAGTGGCTATTGCCTGTGGTCAGACATTGCATGCCCGGTTCACAGACAATTCCACTTAGCACATGGGCTCATTAGTCCATTCAATGATTATTGTTTGTGACCAGACACTTCATATCACGCTCACAGACATTTTTACTTAGTACATTAGTCCGTTCATGTGGCTATTGTCTGTAACCAGACAGTTCATGTCTAGTTCACAGACACTTCTACTAAGTACATTAGCTTGTTATTCTTGTGCTAATGAGCTAAGTGGAATTGTCTGTGAACCAAACGTGAAGTTTCTGGTTACATACAATGGCAACTGGAACAGACTAATGTACTAAGTGAAAATGTCTGTGAACCTGATATTAGGTGTCTGGTCACAAACAATAGTCACTTGAATGGGCTAGTGTGCTAATTGAAATTGTCTGTGAAGTAGACATGAAATGCCCGGCTACAGGCAATAGCCACTGGAGGAAGCAATTGTGCTAATTGGAATTGACTGTGAACGCGACATGAAATGTCTAGTTACCAACAAATACCACTGAAACAAGTATTTTTGCCAAGTGAATTTATTTAACTGAGAGTCTTAATTTAATAAACAACTCATCAATTGAACAATAATGAACCAAAAGTTACAGCCTATGAAACTCTCTTGGGATTTTTCATAACAAACAAACACTACTCTCATGCGGTTGCAACCTGGACATGACCATGTAAGCTACATGCATACTGAAACATTATTTACTCATTTCAAATATTAACTCCACACTAATTTTATGAATATCACCCTACAATGAACAAATATAAACTAAGATTTTAGCAAGGTTTAATCACATAGTTCTAAATATACGTTCTCTTCATTCATGTAATGTTCATATGTGTAACTACATTCAAGAACAAAATAAGACTATATACTACCATTCAAGTGGCTATTGTTTGTGGCCAGACACTTCATAGCAGGTTCATAGACATATTCACTTAGTACATTGAGGGAATTGCCTGTGAAGCAGGGATGAACTACTATCCGATTATAGACAATAGCCACTTGAACGAACATAATGTACTAAGTGAAAGTGCATGTAAACGTGATATGAAATGTCTGGCCATAAACAATAGCCACTGAATTTGGCAAAATGAGCTCATGTGCTAAGTGGAATTGTCTGTGAAGCAGACACGAAATGTCCGGCCACAAACAATAGATACTAGAACAGGTAAATGTGATGTGTCTGGTTACAAACAATAGCCACTGAAACAAGTAAACCTGTCAAGTGAACAAACATTATCATTTACAACCCAAATGTCATATACACGAGTCCAATATCACAAATCTCAATGCCAACTAATCCAAAAGAAACAAACATTATCATTTACAACCCAAATATCAACACATTCCAACATTCCAATGTCGACTAATCTATATTAATTAGTTGACATTCTTCTTCGTATCGTAAATATCTTTTTTCCAATGCCCTAACCAATATGTATAACCAATATGTGAACAAACAAGATCAAGATCTTATTACAAGAAAAAACATTCCAACAAATGGAGCAAGTCTGTCTCTTGCCCGTCTTTGCGCTTGAAATGGCCATCACCTTTCATCCTTCCAATTTCATTGAAGAGTACTCCACCCGGTTAACATTTCCTAAGACTCTGCACCTCATCCTTCCATAATTGCACCTCATTGCAAGTAATGAATGAATAGTCACTGCATAAATAGACAATCATGTAACACGACCTTTATTCACAACATACCAAACACAAATTCTATGCCAAAACTAAGAAGCTAAAGAAAGTTAATCAAACAACAATTGTCAAGCGTGTAGTAAAGTAGTAGGAGCATTCTGAGTGAGGTAAAGGAGACCTTCTCTATGTTCTTGAAATAACAAGTTGCCCAAAGTTATGTCTCAAAACATTGAAGGGTGAAGTTAAATGTAAACCTTCCAAAAGAATCAATTCTCAAAAAGAGAAACAATTTAGGGTATACTGACGCTAATAAACCCATCAATATCTCATTGGATTTTATATTATAAGATGTATGCAGAATAATGTTCAATACGTGTAAGTTCGAGGGCTTATTTAATAGTTCTTCCTAATAAATTATAAAACGAAAAATAGAAAGTTCAATTTTTCTGCAATTGACAATTTTCATAATGAAAATAGGAAGATAACAAAGGTTTACAACTTGACTATGATTTGATCATGATGTATCCCAGCCCTTACAAAGTTGTTGTTTCCCCACAGAACGGTAAACCAGATGTTGTTGGCACCAGACATTTCCAAAGGCACTAAAACGCACATAAGCAAAACAAGGAGAAGAAGAAAAGTCTTGATTCAAAGAATGAACATATTCATAATTTAAACTGAAAAATAAAAAATAAAATATGTAATTCCTATAAACAAAAATACACATTAAAGAAAAAGGAAATGGAAGAAGCATCTTAGATATGAAAAAAGTTATTGAAATATTTCAACAAAGATTTAATGGACATACAAATGAAATATAATAGATGGACTATAATTTCAATGGCTTACATCACAAACTTATATGAATGTGACAAAACAGTCAAGAGTGCACCATCATAATATACATATATCATTACTAAAAACTGGAAAAAAATTGTAATTTCAACAATTGATATGAATAAAAGGAGCAAAAGCATCTGAAACAATCAATATGGATAAAAGAATTCATTCAATCATTTCAACAAACATTTAATGGGCATACAAATGAAATACAATACTTTAACTACAATTTTAGTAGTTAACATCACAAACTTATATCAATGAAATGAAATAGTCAAGGATTAAATATCACACATAATTTACTAAACCTGAAGAAAAATCACTACCCTATCTGAGTATAAAAATAAGTAGAATTTTACCCTAATTTTCATGACTTTGCCGATGAAAGTTAGTACTACTTTCTATAAAGCCAGTCAACTACGTTCCATACCGAAAGAGAAGGGCGCTGAAGATCCGCATAGCATCGGTTCAATCACTCGTTTCTATTCCCCGTGAGCTGCCACTGTTCATGACCGTCCTGGCTTGTCTCTGTGAACGGCTCTTTGGTGGAGAAGTAGCACCGCTGATTGGTGTTGATATTTGAAACTAGGTTGAAAAAATTTTGAAGATTTGTTGAAATTGAAGCAAAAAGAGAGGGAGATGAACGGAAGAGGGGTGGGGGTGTGTGTAGCGCAGAGAAAAGAGAGGGATGAAGGATAAGGTAATGGAGTTGGAGATGGTAAAAATGAAAGGGAATGGTAAAAATTAGAAAGATATTTATATGATGTACAGTTTGTGTACAAATAATGTACACTAAGCATTTTTGTATTTACAATTACAAGTGGTTCGGCTACACCACTTAATCAGCCAGCATAGCATAATTAATTGATATATCATATATGTTTCAATCGTCATATTCTTTCTATTAAAACTTGCTTTTGATTTGAATCATTTTTGTTTATACTTTTCGGTTGTTCAGATAGAACTAAGTACTGTATTTTTGGTCCCTGCATCGAAGTCAATGGACCTCCACTATGTTGATTTCCATATGTGTAAATGCAGACAAGTAGCACTTAATTTAATACGGTGATTGATCATTCTTTTAAAACACATTTGATGTGAACCATTATGTTTCTTTTGGGTTGTTTTGGATAAAACTGATTATCATTAGTTTGGTGCTTTTAAAATCTGAAATCCCCAACCGATTATGGAACAAAGAGTGTTCTCTAAACCGGTATATCTAGATACTGTCCATGCATGTATAATGAAAGTTAGTTTTCTAAATATTCCAGATTATACCCATTACTCCATTAGTAACTGACAAAATTGATCATTTGCAATATGCTTAAAATACAATCAATGATTTGGGATTAATATTGCCGGAAATTCATTTTTATGCCATGTTCAAAGTTGTGTTATGGATTATTGGTTAATTATCTTATTGTCAAACTCAATAATCGGCCCAACGAAAGATTGTTGATTTTGACTATCTTAAACAATTATATGAATTTTCTTTTAACAAACCCAAAGGTGTGTTATTCGATATACCGGAGTATATACGGTCAAGAAAGAGGACTACCGAAAAGGACTATATATGATCAAGAAAACAATAGTTAGGTACCAAAAATGGATAGAGTGAAAGATGAGGACTAAATATGGAATTAATTCAAAATTAGAGGGTTGAATTGAAGCTTCCTTCAGTTAAGAATTCCAATTACTCATTCTTACCCCTTGTTTGGAACTTTTTTGGGGAGAAAATGGGAGGTCGAATACTCGAATATACTTGATGTCATTAGGAGATGCCACATGTCATAAAAAGCTCCAATTTTGAATTGGCAGGGAAATTAAGTTATTAACTAATAAGAAATGAAAATTGCGTGACCAAATGCGGTGCAAAAGAGAAATAATGTGAGCATTAATTCATATCGTAAAAATAACATTGAGTTTATTTTGGGATGCAAGGACTGTTTCTTTTTTATGCAGCACTATCAGTAAAACTAATTTTGTCAGCAATCCAAAACCAAAAAAGAAAAAACTTAGTCAACAAGATGTGTAAGGTATCACACTTCCAGTAACAAAAAAATAGACAATCTTTGCCTATATTTCTTATATAAATAGGTGTGCTTTTTGAACATAAAGTCCAACAATAACATCACATGTTTGCATTATTCATTTTAATGTGGATGTGATACTATGCATTCATTTACTGTCCACTATTCGACAGTTTTCTGTACTCTTCCAGCAAATGTGGGACGTCATCCATTCGCAACTGAAATTCATCACAGAAATAACACTATGAGAAGAGAGTTAAAAAAGAACACATATTCATAACAAAATTCAATTTCACTCTCACTTGGGATACAATATCATCCGAGGATATATAGAAGCCCCCAAAAAACGTTAAACTGGTGAACATTTCTGATATGTCCCGTGACTGTAAAAAAGATTGAAGATTTTCTCTGCATTATGAGAGACAGCTTAAGTAGGTTCTATACATCACTTGTTCAGAAAGTTTTTGTCATTTTTGGGATGGAAACACATTTCAGAAATGAAGAGCAAGGTGAATGGTAATGGAAGTATGGAGATGTGAAAAACAAGAGATGTTTTATTTTTAATTTCCTTGCAAACAAATAGTACAGTACTCGTAGTAGCAATTAAATATTTACATATAGTAAATATTATGATGGAAGGATGAAATGAAACACAAAGCCGTGCTATTAGCTATAAGCTCTGTTTGAATGATTATGTAGAGATTGAAGATGAAAAATCATATAGAAATAGACGACTTAACTTAAACATATACACCGAGCAGTTCATTGTTTTATAGTCTATGACTCTATGACTAACACAGGGAGAACAATAGTGAAATGAAAACCTATCCTCCCCTTCCATAAAAAATCCCTTAACAAAACAATCCCTTACACAAAGCAATTATAAGAACTGGATGTCGTTTAATTCCCAGTCCACCTAGGTTGTTCGCAAGGACAAAGAACGTGACTTGTTTCTGTTTAAATGGAAGGCTTAGGCAATGTCTTGATAAAAACAAGTAGAATGTTTCTAAAAGTGAATAAAAGGTGATGAAAATCTTATACAATCACACATTATGTTAAGATTTTATTTTATTTTAGAAAAACTAGCATATACATTAAGATATAGACTAATCCCTCCAAAACGCTCCATCCAAACAGATTTTTAAACATAATATTTTGTTTTGGAAGAGCAAACGAGTTTCCTCTTACTTTTTGTTTAGGCAACCAAACGTTGATAATCTCTCAGCAATTGGCCAAGTTCATTCAACAGTACTGATTTTGACAAAGATTACTCCAGCGCTCAGGAAGTACTCGTTCAACCAATTTGTGAAAGTATATATGCTTTCACACAATTGAGCATGGTTTTCATGTGGAAAATCGTGATATGCTAGTTCAATAAATTCTCTATCCTCCATCTCATCGATAGTCGACTTCGGATTTGACAGGAGATTCTTCAATACGGCTTTCCTGTAAAGATTAAAATTCAAACACAAAATATCATTTTGTACTAAAAGCCTCCACATTTATATGTATCTCCATGGGAGTCAGGAGACAAAACAGAACCTATTCTTTATAAAATTCTAGGGAAAATTGTCAAATAAGTCCTCGTACTATTATGAAAAAGTGAATTAGATCCTCGTACTTTTTATTGAATCAATCAAGTCCCCGAAGTATTAAAAAGAATCAATTCTTACATTTAGCCGGTTGAACTAAGGTATTGCCGGTTAATTCTGTACGGAAATCCACATGTCAAATAAATTTTATTTTTTCTTTTTCTATTCTTCTTTCTTTTCCTTACTTTCTTTTTTTTTCTTTTCCAGCTGGCTTCTTCTTCCCGGATGCATTGACCAGTTTTTTTCTTTCCTTTCTTTTTTCCGCAATTCTGCTCACTTTCTTTCTTTGATTTCTGCACCTGGTTTTCTGCCTCACCTCATATTCTCACTTTTCCATTTGCTTTTTCTTTCTTCATTCTTTTCAGGTTCTCTTTCTCTTTCATTAGATGGGCGGCGGGCAATGGTGGTTGGGAAGGGGTTGCTGACGAGCAGGGTGCAGCGAATGATATGGGAGACGGGAAGCGCGCGGAAGCATGGAGATGGTTGGTGGACAACCAGAGGCAGGAGACAGCCGTTGAGATCGAGGATGTTTTGGGCGAAGGTCAGTAACTGCGGGGTAATTTATGGCCGTGGGCGATCGGTGGTGACGAGTGCCAGCGGAGGTTGGGGAAGTCGTGGTCGCCGGCAGTTGAGACTTGAGAGAGTTGTGGTTACAGAGGGATGCTCTAACTTGCTAGAAAAAAAGAAAGAAATGCGCAAGAGAAAAGAATGAAGATGACAGGGAAGAAGAAATGGTCAGCGAGGAAGAGTGAAAAAGTAGAAAGGAATTAAAAAAGGAAAAAGAAAATCCAGATGGATGTCTACCGGTTGACCGGATCTCAACCGGTCAAAAGGGTAATTTGACTATTTTTTAATACTTCGGGGACTTGATTGATTCAATAAAAAGTACGAGGACCTAATTGACTTTTTCGTAATAGTACAAGGACTTATTTGACAGTTTTTCCAAAATTCTAAACCTATTCCGAAAATCATTCTGGAGAACGTGTGTACTCCCTCTGTCCCAAAAAAATCTTCTCATTTTCTTTTATGGAATGGTTTATGTGGCAAACATTCACTTATCTTTTTCAAACTCAATCACAACTATACATTTCCACGTTATTCCCACTTTATTATTAAGCGTGCTATGTCAAACTCGGAAGAATTTTTTGGGACGGAGTAATTTAAATTTAAATATTCTTCATGAAAAAGGTTTAAGTAACATCACACAAAAGTTAGCATACTCTGATGCAGAAAAGAAATGGTTTACTTGCAATATGAATACATTTGGCTCTTGGTTTACTTGCAAGGTTTCACTGAATGTAAACAAGACAATTTAAGAAGACAAAAAACAGAGACAAAACCTACACTACCTTGTTGTCTTCTGAAAGGAATTCACTTCATCACATGGTGGTTTAAAAACGACGCTTAAGGAGTGCTTGTGTATCCTTCTACTTTTGTGAAGTGATTTATTATAGAGATCATATGAAAAGCGATAAGTAGTCAAAATCGATAATGTTTGAAGAAAATATTATTTTAAAAAAGTAGAAGCTAGAGTATTTGATGAAAAAGAACTTTTTTGTGTACTAGAAAAAGTGAAAAACAGTTTAAGCATCTCTCCTGCTTTTACAGCTTTTAGCTTTAAACTGTTTACTGTAAGCATAAGAACCTGCTTGAAAATATTGCTTTGATCTATTTTTAAGGAAAATTCATGAAAACATTTTTTGAAGCTGTTGGAAACACTCTTATAGCTCATCTTGGTACATTCAATTCAGAGTGCACTTTTCCCTGAGATGTGCCGAAACTGTTAACTAGGGATTGATTGATGTTTCAATGGGCACCTTTTCAACTCACATAATTCTTCATACAATAAACAAGTTACTTGTACATTGTACCTTTAATCATTCCAGCAATATAAAACCCCATAAAAAATGGTATAAAGTGGATGAAAAAATAAGCATAATAATAACTTGGTGATAGGAAAACATATGGAAAAATCTATTTCAGCCAAATAAGTAGAATACAACAACATCCAAGCCTTAGTCCCAAAAGATTTTGGGGTCGGTAGCCAAATAAGTAGAATAATTTAGTGGTAGCAACTTATTCTGCTGATAAGTAGAATAAGCGGATTAACCACGTTTAGCCACCAAATAGGCTCTTTAACTGAATTATGTTTGTTGTTAGGTTGACGAGCATGTTTAACAAGCTTAACTACTAATGTAGATCATCTGGCTTACTAAAAAGCTATAGAACATCTAGAAATATGAGGTTAGATAAACGATTTTAACATCATGTGTTCTTATCCTATACTCCTAGTTCATATATATTTAACTTTATAGCGTGAATCTGTTTGAAAATGGGATTTTCGGAAAGGTTTAGATGGGCTGAGAGGAAGTATGGCAGAACAAGAAGTTTCTATGAGAAACCGTGGCACGAGCATTCAACTTTTTAAGACATTAAAGCATTACATAATCACATGTCACTAACATTGGAAGTAATATCAAGAAAGAGACAGCATCAAGCATATAGAGAATGCAAGACAACTAAACATGTAAATTTCTAATATAGAGAATAAAAATTTTAATTTCAAAAACTAGAATATAAGAAAAATATACTTAATAGAGGCAATACTTGTATCCAGATTGAAGAGTGTAGACTTCACGCAACCACTTTTTACCGTCCAAACCATCATACCTGCACTCCAATTAAAGCTAAATAAGACCACTAAAATGAGAGCAGGCAATTAACCACTGGGCAGTTGAAACTTACAGAATAATATTATTGTTCCCAAAATCAGCTGCAAAATATCTTTCCAAAGGCATGCCACCTAAACTAGTAAGTTCTGGTCATTGCCACCATTGCCAGATATCTAGAATTTAAAATAGAAATAGAAAATGACTCAGGCGCCACACTTTTAAGCAAATGAGCATCTCTTGAGGAATGAATTGTTATTTCATCCCCTTAGCATCCAGATTCCTTTCTTTCAGTAAAACAAATCTCATGCTGTTGGTTTAGATAGATTTTAGTAAGAATTTGTCTTTCCCAGTATCCAGGACCCAAGAGTATCATAGCTTAACAGTGAAAAAACTCAATATAAGCGCATCTACAAGGGAAAGAATATAGAGCAGAGTACCAGGCTATCATTTAGTATCTTCAATCCAAGGGATGTACAGAGATTGTAATGGACATCATAGAATTTCGTAAGTATTACAACTACGCTGTAAATGACCAGCTATGTCACCAGTAGTCTCTACACGAACATGATCCATCTCTAAAATGATGGAATCTGCTTGAATCTCGAACACTAATCCCCCTCCCAACAATTTTTGATATTATTTTGATGGCAGCATGACAATCCATACATGCTCGCAAGTTTTTCATCACTACAATAGGCGATCCTTCTGGAGTACTGATTAAAGCAAACGCAATAGCTAATCTTTCACTGTGATACTTCAGTGAATCTATCTTAAGTTCTTCATCAACATTTTGTAGTGAACAGCTTGTGTCCGGCTTGTATCCTTCCTTTTCCATTTCCTTCCCCAACGAGTCAATTTTCTTTCTAATTGCATCAGCTTGTGGGTGGGTTCTATCGTTTGCAGTAAATTTATGTACTGCATGGTCAATTTCAACCCAACTACATGCTGCTACTTTCTTAACTCCATTTTCCCTCATACCCTTTTTCAGAGTGGCTACTTTATTCCACTGGCCAGCCTCTGCATAGATGTTAGACACATTGGCATAAACATAAGCAGCAGCAGCATTTAGCGTGTCCATCTTAAATAGTTGGTCGGCAGCCTTTCCTGCAAGTTCATGATTCTTATAAATCCTGCATGAGTTCAAAACTGATGACCAAAGGATCTCATCCGGCACATATGGCATTTCGGCAATTAATTCCTCGGCCTCATCAAATCGTCCATTTCTACACAGCACATCGACCATAGTTGTATAGTGTTCTCTCTTTGGTTCCAAATTATATGATTGGGTCATCAAACTAAAATACTCTCGTGCAGCTTTAACTAGCCCATGATGACTGCAAGCAGTTAAGACACTGAGGAAACTAACTGAATCGGGATCAAGACCGGATTCAGACATTTCTTTAAATGACCTCAGAGTAGCTTCATCGTCGCCATTTTGAGCATAAGCTGAGAGCATTGCATTCCAGGAGACTATGTTTCTATCAGGCATCTCTTTGAAAATCTTAATCGCGTCACTTATAGACCCACATTTTGCATACATGCCAAGGAGGGCACTTCCCGAGAAAACATTAGACATCAATCCCAGTCTGATAATATGCGAGTGTAACTGCCTCCCTAGTGAAACCAAAGCCAAGTTTGCCGAAGCTTTTAAAACACTTGCATAAGTAGCATGGTCGCCATGAACACTTTGTCTAGCCATTTCCTTGAACAACTCTACAGCTTCCTCAAAAAGGCCCTTTTGGACATATACGGATATTATTGCTGTCCAAGAAACAGAACTATAAGCCAAATTAGCAAATATGACATATGTTTCCTCTAATCTGTCACAATTTGCATACATGTCAACTAGAGCATTCCCTACTTGAATCTCTGAATCTGATTTTGTCACTATTGTCTGCGCATGGATTTGCCTTCCCAAATCTATATTCTGAGTAGTTGCAGCAATGCTCAACATAGTTGCAAATGGAAATTGTCTTCTGTCAAATGTAGTGCTCCTTAATTTGCGTAAGAGATGGAATGATTTTTCATACTGACCATCCCATGCAAATCCTGTAATTATAATATTATAAGAAACACCATCCAGCTCAGGCATTTCATCAAACAGTTTAATTGCATCAACTAAAAGGCTCTGTTTAGAATAGAAGTCAAGGAAGGCATTGCCTACAAATACATTACACACAAAGCTGGTCTTAATCGCAAGTGCATGGACTTGTTTCCCAAATGCAGCAGCATCCAATCCAACAATAGCACCAATTACCGTAGCAAAAGTGAAATCTGAAGGCTTCAGGCCCAAATATTGCATCTCTTGAAAGAGCATTAGTGCTTCTTCATTTGAACCATGTTTTGAGTATCCCGTGATCATTGCATTGTAGGTCACCGAATCTTTATCCGTGATTTCTTCGAAGAGTAGAAGGGCTAGATCAAGGTGTTGGCACTTGCAGTAAGAATCCACCAAGCTATTGCTCACCAAGGAAACTGAACTGTTTCCCAACTTAATGATATGGGCATGAATCTGAAGCACTTCTTTTGCAGTTGATGTCCCGCCACAACCAGATAAAAGTGTTGCAAAGGTGATATGATCTGGATTCATCCCTGCTCTACACATCTCAGCATAGAGTGTAAAAGCTTCCTTGGGTTGCTTGTGATGTGAGTATGCACCAATCATTATTGTCCATGACACCTCTGTGCGGTCAGGCATACTATCGAACATCTCACTAGCACGAGAAAGATTGCCAGAACTCACATAACCTGAAATCATCATATTCGCTGAACAAGTGTTTCTACAAGGCATGCGTTCGTAGAGTTCTTCGGCCTGAGCTATCTGATTGCTTCTGACTAAATCCTTCAGCTGAAAGTTAAACCTAGAAGTTCTGGGATCAAAGCCGGTTTTGATTATGAGGGCATCCACATGAACTTCAACTTCATATTTACTGCTGTTGATACATTCAAAATTTAATACATGTACACACTCCTGATGAAGAAAGTAATATCATGCTAAAACAAATTATTAAGAGAAACTAGTACCCAGAATAATATCGCTTGGCAAAAACTGGGAGTGCACTCCAATGCTTTGTAGATCTTGAATGGGCCATGACCCCGTAAGGAATCATGAGTTTAACAGCCATTTATGTAATTTTTAGCAATGTCAATGATGGATGCCTTATCAACTAGTCCTTCAAAAGCTACAAGCTCACAACCTTCGATTTTAGGGTGTTCACGGTGGTGTGTTCTCTGTCCACTTGAAAAGAAAGAACAATGTAAGCATATTTTAAACGAACAAAGATGAAAATATAAATGCAGATATTATAGGTAATATGATTACCAATTTACCATCAAAGGTCAGGGGTATCAGAATTCAGAAAACATTAAAGGACTCCTATGAAAAAGATTTTTTCAAGTTATGAAAACTCAATTTTGCGATCATCTCAAACTACCCAACTTATTAGCACAGGCACTGCCACCCAAAATCCTGGCTCTAAAAATATCATTTCAAGATTCAATGTAATGAGGTTGTCACGTATAAAGCACACCTGTTATAATGCTCGGCTTTCAAAACAAATACTCCGTAAATAAGAATATCTTGACGATACCAAACTTTAGAAGGGAAGTAAGACTGTAAGAGAATTGTAGATCAATAAGAAACCACCAAAAAGGAACTAAAACCCAACAAATGAGCAAATCTTAACATGACACAATTAACAAGTGAATGAAAAAATTCAGAGTACAAGAAAATGAAACGTCAACCATAAGTATGACTGGTTAAGCTTTGATACAAATTTTGCACTTCCCTGAGCATGAACACTGGCCAACAGGTGAGTTATGATACTTTGAAGAGAAAAATGTTATTCTTAACTACAAGGAACATATCAAATTTGTTTGGGGTACTTTGAAATAAACAACATGGAATGTAATTAAATTAACTTCTTTTTTGAAATTGGACTACTTTTCTGGACAGAAATTATTGTCCAAAGAGGAATTTATTTTTAAATGTATGGAGTAATAAATTAACAACACTTTAAAATAAGTACTTAGGGTGCACACAGAAAATAAGCAACCAAACAGGCAAATGCACAACATTAATTTAAAAAACATTGGAAAATGTAGGTTGTCACGCGTTGTCCTATTGAGACTTTGAATGAAATCCAACTTATCTGCACTTTAGTACTAATTTAGCGAACTGTGAATTTATTTCAATTTATCAGTGTAATTGAGATAATTTGCATTGTAAAATCTTAATAGAAAGTCTTCCAATAAGAGTAACTTTTGGACTCCATAAATTTCTTATATTGAAGTTCCAGTATATATAATAAATTAACAACATCAGCCACACTCCTACCCAATACCAACATTAAAATCCTTAATAGGAATACGTGATGATTAACAATTTAACGTATGGGGTTGAAGGGCTTGAAGTTTTTATTTAAATTTGAAACAATATGTTTGTGCTTTTCTGAAGATTTAGAAATTAATCTTGAATGAAAATGCTCAAAATGGAGTATTTATTTTAATCTATTAAGATTAGGATATTTTATGGTCAATACTCAATACATGGAGTTCACATAGCTTGACGTTTTTATTTAGATTTGAGACTGGGTTTATAAAACAATTCAATTTATAAAATTTAAAAATTAGAGCTAGCTCGCGTGCCAAGAATGTAGCAGATAATGTTGATAAACCAAAAAACTTGATACCATTCATACCAATCATACCATACCCAATAACTTCCAAAATTTTGATCGTGAAGGTCAAATATTTGTACCAAAAACTCTTCCAAAACCCGAGAAGTGGAGTCCCGGAAGTTATTTGTACAAAATTTAAAAGACACTTTAGAAAAATTAGTACTATATATTCTTTTTCACTTTGATTTCAAATGGGATTCTTTAGAAAAATCAGCCTTGGGTTTCCAGAATATGTGCCCCTATTATACAGCTTGCCTAGCTCGAAAGATATAATTTGTATTTTAGAATAATATCGTTATTTTATGAATTCTCTAGTAGGCAAATAAATTAAATATTATTACAATTTTTTACTTCCAAAAGAATCAAGCTAAAAGAAGAGTCTTATTACTAAATGACCAAGCAAATTTAATGTCCCTTTACCTGAATCACCAAGAGCAACGAAGACTCTTACCTCATTCGATTCCAAAAAGTAATTAACGAAATGCGTTGAAGAATGAAAAATTGAAATTTACCATATAGCCGAAGCCCATGAGTGTGCAGAGATAAAGAACAGAGTGCAATTGGAGCCTTGGAGGAGATGTACATAGAAGATATGGAGTGGATACTTTTTTGCATCTTGCATGATGGTGAGGCTGCCGAAAGATTGGTCTGGGAACGAAATTTGAATTTAAAAACAGGGAAATAAAAAGATCATCCATGTTACCAAAAAATTCTTTTAAACAATTTTTAAGAACTTTCTTAAAGACAACGTTGTCTTTAAATTTGTTAAGAAAAACTAATTCTACATACAATAAGTCAGGCACAGACAAAAAAATGAACAACATGTCTTGTCTATCACATTAAACGGATATTAGTGCAATCATTAGAATCCGGGAAAAAGAAGATATGAGAGTGTAAAATCAGCGGCATCACCGGCATGCAAATCAATGCCTATGTGCAGATATTAATTTTTTTTGTGAATAACTTTTCAAGATTTTCAGCTTCATTTCTCCATACAGACAAATGCCTTTGACCAAACTAATTGTCTTTATCTAATCCGACCCATGTGTACAAAAAGTTAGTACAATTGTCATTTTCGTAGAAAGACAGCAAATGACAGTAAAGAAATAGAAGAAATGGAAGCTTCTTTAATTGCGAAAGTATGGAATTTTTTAGTGACACAAGCATTTTATATAAGTAGGAGATAAATATTACTCCGTAGGTTTTAACACATTACAATGCGAAACAAATTAAAACATGAAGGTATGCTTCAAGTAAAATGAGTAAAGGATGAGATAACAGACCTAAAATGAATAATGAAGACACTTGTAAGCAACAGCAAGGCGAGAAGACACTGCAGCACAGCTTCGCTTTGAGGGTTTTTGAAATCATAAAAAGTAAATGTTTACCGCGCACTATGTCTTCACTCGTGCGCACTCTAAAAGCTTCATAGATGGTCACTCATCTAAGATTAATCATGTGTAAGTACGTTTAACCTAAGAGTTTTTAGAAGATAGAATCTTTTAAAAGAAGATGCATCTTATTCATATGAGATGAGATGTACTATTAATACTTTTAAGTTCTTCTAGGGTATTACAATCACCCTCCCTTAGAAGCGCACAACTTCCTCATTGTGCCTGGAAGCTAATCTCCATCAAGCCCTAGAATCCTCTCTTGTTAAGTGCCCAAACCATCAGATCAACCCACTATTACATGATTGCTCTAAAACTACTTGTAGCATCCCTTAACTTGTAACACACTCATCCCATGGGGTCCAAGTTGCTAAGATGCCCCTGAACCACCCCATCCCTTATAACATATATTTTGACCTCTTCGGGGTCTGAGACTGTTACTCCTACATCCTTTCTAGACCCACCACTGTCTTCACAAATCAACACAAGTTTTACGGCGTGTTTTGTCCTCACTAATGCGCACCCGGAAAAACTTCACAGGGGTCACTCATCCTAAAACTACAAATGTGCAAGCATGTTAATTCTTATACTTCTTTATAGATGAGTTCTCTTGACAAAGTTGCACCATTTTTATATGAGTAGTATTGTGTGTGCATGTACCCCTTTTCTTATGTGCAATGTCAAGACTATGTACATATAAACATTCCCTACTGAACATTGTGAAGCAAAGTCATCAAAAGGATAATCGAGTTGTGTCTCTCTAGGGTCTTTTTCAATTACAATGTCTCTGGACTCTCTGGTTTCGGCATCTAAATTCTTCCGATCAACAGGGTCATAAATATCCAAAATCAAAGGACCAGCCGTTGGAGTTAATACATTTGATCTATCCAAATCATTTTTCGGTTGCTCAGTACCAATGTTATCAACTCCTAAATTTTCACCTCCCATGACTTCATCATTATGAATTGTTTCGTTTTCGTTAGCAGAATCATTTTTCAGAAGGATCTTCAGATTTTTTCTTCTTCGTAAAAACAAACTTTTCCATTGCACCTTTTTGACTTAGGGCAGCATTATCTAATCTTCTTTTACTCATTAATTTCTCCCATCCAAATTCACCCATTTTTGTCAAACCTTGAAATTACTTATATTTAAAATTTTAATTATAATTGAAAATTTTTATCTAATAAAATGAACAAATTATAACACTAACACTCAATAGGTAACTATCATCAATTAAGTGATTAACACCTAACAAAGCATCCAATTATTTGTCAACTATTCCTAAATGATAAATCATAATCATTTATAAACATAATTAAATTAATTTATCAATTACTAAACTTAATCACACAAATACACACTCAATCAACCATCAATTCATCATTCATATAATCGTACTACTCAAAATCTCAAATAAACATTCTGGCCGAAGCTTAAGGTTGGAAGGGAAGGAAGGCCTACGGCGTACCTGATAACCAGTTAAACACAAGTCCAGAAGCGGCAGAAGTGCAGAACGGCAGAACTTGTGAAGACTGAAAACCGAAGGCTTGGCTGCTTGGACAGTAGAGTACACCTGTGGGCTGTCTCTGTGCCGCTGAGACGCAGACCCGCTGTGGACGCCGATGTCAAACGATAAATGCTGAAGCCTGAAGGCCGGAACCGCCGGAACTGGAGACTGGAGTCCTGGAGTACGTCATGCGTGAGTTTCAGACGCGTGGGGAAAGGCCAAGGCTGCGCGTTAGTTAACTCGTTTTTCCCCTTTGGAGTTTGGGCTTCTTGGGTTGCTTGGACGGTAAACAATTACTCCTTTGTCCTGCTAAAATTGTCATGATTTACCGGTTCGTCCCATTAAGATTGTCTCATACCAAATTTGTTAAAGTTTACGTGGCTCTAAATCATTATTACTTTATTCTTATTTTATTAATTTAATATCAACCACATAAATCACTTTTTATTGATTTGTGTGTCACTCCATTTTGTCTCATTGTTAGTGGGACGGAGGGAATATTAATTTTGGGTTAAAACTCAGCCTCCTCAAACATACTACTCCGTATAAAGAAATAATCATGGGCCTAAAAAATTCATTTCTTTTGGGCCTAGGGCCACCGCACCTCCCCCCAAAGCCGCCCCTGATACTATCGGATTTATTAGTTCATAATATAAACTTCATTATCTCTAACACTTTATAAATGTGTGTGTAGGGAATGGTTCAAACACAAAAGAGTCTTAATGTGTAAAATAAAAATTAATATCAATCGTATAAATTGTCAATGTGGTGCAAAAATATTCTGATCCAATGTACTTTTGAAATAAAAGTACAAGGGAATAATTGTTATATATGCTAGTGAGTACAAGTTATCAACCGCTAACTATAAAATAAATGTTGCTATTTATACTACTAAGGGGTAGGTGGTAGTGGTGATGTGGAGGTTCATGAGTGGCTAGCTTCTCAATCACCAAATCTATTGCATTAAATGTGTTCCCCGCCAATATCTTGCTTTCTCGCCAATATGCCCAGGCCGATCGTCTCCAAGCTTCCTGGTTGTGGATCCAAACAAGCTTCCTTGTTCTCACACCATCTTATACTTGACCATTTTGTGTGTATTGGATATATATGTTTTTGACAAGCAGTTTGAATTTTTACAGTCACTTGTATTACCAATGTGAAATAAAAAATCAAGCAAAAAAAAGCATCCCTTGTCTTTATTAGTAGGGATTTGATGGCTCTTTAATTAGATTTCTTGTTTTTATAAATAGTTTGTCTATTTATGAATTTTTTGGTACCTGAGGTTTACAACAGTCGTATTTTGCTTATCAGTGAGTCATCATCTGATTCATTATCCTTAATCAGAGATGGTGATTGGCTTGTTGCTTATCGTATGCTGAAGAGGAGCAGAGAAGCCCCCTTAGTTGTGTTTATTCATCAACAAACTGAGGAGTAAGCACTAACTTGCCTCTTGATACACTATGTTTTTTTTTTGTATAGCGGTATGTCTCTATATGTTTGTATTCATGATTGTGCTTTGCATGTAGAGAAAAAGAACCTTTTGAGATTTTGATGTTGCTTCTTCCTCAGATTTAGTGTCAAGCGTGAAGGATGAATGTCTTTTGAAGTGTGTCACTTCTTTATTCCTATTATTTATATTATTATATTATGATTTGTCGTAAAGCTGTTTTGTTGTTTTAAGAAATGCACAGATTAGAGGAATGACAGAGTTTCAAAAAGGTAGCCTATTTATATTGTGTTGTATGCAACTGCGTAGGATTGGTTATTTGCTTCATCTTTGTAGCTACTTTGATTTTGAATGTGCAAGTTTTGGTTCTTGTTGATGTTATTTAATTTGGTGTTTTCTCTTCCATTATTGTTATCTCTAGCCTTACCCGTCAATTATGATGAAAGTAGCTCTAACATTCTACTCATTTACTTTTAATCTACTTATCATATTCAAACCTCAATTTTGCATTTTTCTTTATCTTAGAAGTCCAAGACACCTACCACCTCCTGGAAGATTATTCTTGACAGGTAATCTGTTATACACATTTGTGGTAGTTCTTGAGGATTTATAAAGTCTAACCAAATGTAGATCAACACTTCGTAGCAGCTGTACATTACAGAGATGGATTTAATATTGAGAACTATCTTCTTATCTGTCAAGTATAAACTATAAAAGTAAATAATTAATTTACTAACTATCAGAGTGATGAGCTATGCAAAACAATATAAACAGAAAACAAGTTTTGATGAAACCAGTTTAGATAGTTAGTTTCTCAAAATATGGATATATACCTTATAACCTATAATGAATACGAATAGACTCCATAAAATTAGAAATTGAACTTACTATTTGTTGGCTTATTTAACACAACAGTGAAAACCATATAATATCTAGTGTTAGTGATTGCTCACGTTTTCTTCTGTCATTTGTGACAGATCATAGTAAGTTTGGAGCAACACCATTTGGGTTACTAGAGCAATTTCCCTCGATCCTTGGAAGAAAAAAACATCTTTGTGAATGTAACTAGCACATTTAAATGTCTCACTTTAGTTTCTACATTTTTTATCATCGTATTTTACCTGATTTTCTCTTTTGCTCGATGGACTGATTTAAATTTCATCCACCTTTTCAGGTTATATGTGATTATGGTGGAGTTGGCAAAGAGTCGTGTTTTTTGTCTTCAAAACGCCATAGTTGTGATTAGTTTCAAGTAGAAATGTTGTACTAAGTGTAATATTGTTATATTGTAGAATGTTGTAAGGAAATATTGGTAATGACTCTTTGAATGTTTTGTATTACAGTTTAAGCAATAAATGAAAATGTTGATTGGTTTGATTATTTATATTCGATTGTTGATCTTATTTTTTAATCATTACATTTTATAAGCTAATTAATATAATAAATACTAGGTGTTATATTTTTATTGATACCAAGGTATCATGTACATTTATGATGCTGGTGTGTCAAAAACGTTTTATGATACTATAGCATCATAGTTTTGTAAGATAGTATAGTGTCATTATTTATTGACATTAATATGTTTTAGAATCAGTGACACTAAATTTAGTGTCACTTGCCCCGCTTGTCTGTGACACTTTCAGAGTGTCATTAAATCGTTTACACTTTTTTAGTGTCATTATAAGGCATTTTTTTACTAGTGCAAGTTGAGTGTCCACGATGCCCTCGGTGTGATAGTTGATCAGACGGCTCCTAAAACCCAAGGTAACGGTTACGGCAGCCGGTTCAACTTCCAAGGTAACTGTAATGATTACGTTCTGGTTGACCTCCGCGCGACACGTGTCCCGGCATATGCTCCTCGCCACGTGTCACCCAATCACTGGATGGTCGGGTGGCGGTGATCTCTATAAATACTGGTTCAAATGGCGGATTTAGGGTTTTTTGAATTTCGCTCCTCCTCTCTCTAAGTGCCCCAGTGATCGTATGCCTACATCTCTGGCCCCTGTCAACTTCAACTTGCCATCACTTAGGTAATTTAATTGATTCGCTTTCCTTCCCATTCGTCTTGTTTTTCTTTTTCAATGTTGAATACCTCAGAGATGGCCCATGATTCTCGCCTCTCCATTGAATCGTATTTGGGTTCCCATTCTTTGGGGAAAACCAGCACGTCGGGTAACACTGAATCGGCCAACACGGGTTAGGGTAATGTTGGAGGGGCGGCCGTAGACCAAGGCGGTGTTCCCGACGAAGGCCAAAACAACTCCAACAACAAGGCTTACTCCGGGGACGACCTGGATGTTTCCGACAAGGGCAACCCCCGCGACATACCCCATCATGAGGTTCTGGTGTGGAACACCCACTGCTGTAATCACTTCTTCTCCAACTTTGCGTTATGCGAGTTCCCGGTGTACCTGCTGCCACCCGTTGTGTACAGTCTTCGCGATGCGACCAGCCCTTTGATGAGGCGTCCCAGGATGATAATGGTTCATCTAGATTCAGTGAAGGTCGGGTTGCAGTTTCCCCTACACCCATTTTACCTTGAACTGTTCCGGTGCTATCAGGTTGTCCGGGCTCAGTTCATGGCTTCATGCCAATTCCCACCGCTTTGTGTCTGCCTTCATTGTCCGCCACAGCCTCAAGAAGGTGGATCTGATCCTAGATCTCTTCCATTACTTTTTCAAGCTCTCTCCCCAGAACTCTGATGGGTTCCTCAGCATCAACATCAACCGTCGCCCCGAGCGGAATTTATTCCATGGGCTCCCCTCTTGGATTCACGAGTGGAAGCATTGATTCATTTTCGTTCAGTTCCCCGAGGGCCAGCTTCCCGAGCAGTGGAATGGGTATCAACTGAAGATTGGATCACCACGCATTACCGAAGACCTTGATAAGGCTATCAAGAAAGTGAAGGTCGGTGGTTCCGAGCATCTAAGTCGTTTGCCGACGCGGGAATAGATACTGCTCGTGTCACTTGACTATTCTTCTCCTCGGACCACATCTAGGCCATGGGTCGCCATGTTCCTGATCGAGGTGAGTGCCTTAGGGGTTCATGCCGCCCAGTTTGAACATATGGTTCTATCTTGTTTTAGGTCTTCCCACTACCAAAGAACAAATGGAGAATGACGCCATGAAGCTGACACGTGCTGCTAAGGCTACCAAGCAACATGCGGCCAAGAAGAAGGCTATTGGTCGGGCGGCCCAATCTTCTGAGGCAACTTCCGCTGCCTCACAGGGCGCACGACAGCCCGATGCCAGTGTTGCCCGAACTTCCTCGGCTGTCGTCGAGTCCCGTCAGGAAGGTCCCAGCTCAAGCATTGCTGCCTCCCTGGAGGTATCACCCATCAAGGTGGTTGTTGGTCGCCAGGTCGGGCCCATGAAGGAGAAGGCCTCCAAACGGCCACATATTGAAATGATCGTTGTTCCATCGTACGGAATCGATTTGCCCTCGCTTGGCCGTCCCTCCATTGATGTGTGGAGGGACTTAGTGTGCCACTCGGGCGTGGAGTTAGTGCCACGCCCGTCCCCTGATGTCATGGAAGGCATGTTGCTATATATCCTGCTTCCACGTAATCTCCCATCACCCTTGTGATTTGGTCTGCTCTGAGTCATGATCGTCAACCATGAGACACATGGTTTCCGCCGATTCCCTCATAATATGAGGGTCCCTCCTGGCCTCTAGGGGGACCAAGTTTGTCATGTCCCTGTCATTCCCCTGTTGCGTCCATTTGCTGCCAGAGGGTTCGGCGGACGTCAGTGTGCGCGACCTCCTTCTGTTCTCCAGCTGCTCAGAGAGGTCGCGGGTGCGTTCAGAGGAGATTCTGACCATTTTTGCTTGTTGTAGTTTTTCAAGGTGTTGAGGTTTATTCCTTTAACTCCAAAGGTTCAACACCTTCCTTTGGGTTTCGTGGGGTATGTTTTATTGGATTGGGTATGATGAGTGGCATAAACAATAAATGATTAGGCGAAAAGAATATTCAGTAACTGGGTCGAGTTCTTATTTAGTGATAATAATGAACAATTACACCACACTGCGCACCTTATTGCTACCCGAGGTCAAGCGTATAGTCTGAGCTGAGAATATAAGGAAATACTACCTCTGTCCCACTAAGTTTGGGACAAAGGGGTGTGGTGTGATTTTCAAGAAAAAGTAGAATTATATGGTTGGTATTGAATTGATAAAGTGTGAATAAAGTAAGAATGAATTCTAACCACTCAAATATTACCAAATATGGTATGTGACAAACTTAATGGGACTGACAGAAAAGGTAAAACGGGACAAAGTTAAGGAGACGGAGGGAGTAATTGTTATGCTGGTGAATACAAGTTGTGAACCCCTAACTATGAAATAAATGATGATATTTATACTACCAAGGGGTAGGTGGTAGTGATGATGTGGAGGTTCATGAGTGACTAGCTTCTCAACCACCAAATCTATTGCATTAGATGTGTTTCTCGTTAATATCTTGCTTTCCCACCAATATGCCCCAACTGATCGACTCCGAGCTTCCTGGTTCTGGATCCAAACAAGAACAAGGCCACACACGCCACTCGGGCCACGCCGAGCGTCCACAGTGAGGCCCGCCGACCGACTTCTTTGGCACTAACTGGCTAAGGCGCCATGGAGGAGCGTTGGGACATGAAGGCGAACGCCGGGCATGGTTCGTGGGCCGTTGCTCAATCCCTTCTTCTTTACGGGGTATTCAGCCGATTCTGTATTGGGCCAATTACCCCAACTATATATATATATATATATATATATATAGAGAGAGAGAGAGAGAGAGAGAGAGAGAGGAATGTTCAGGTCCGAACATTCCCCGTCTGAGCACCGTCCGAACATGGACGTTTGGGCCATTTCCCGGTGGAATTTTTTGATGAAATTTTTTTAACATGTTCCTCATCAAGTCTAGTTTATCCATACCAAATTTCAGCTCAAAATTCGATCGGGAAGACATTCAAATCATTTTTGGAAATTGACTGCGTCAAAATATACATATAAAAACGATGTCAACTTCAAAAAATGATTTGAATGCCTTTCTGGTTGAATTTTGAGCTGAAATTTGGTATGCACAAACTAGACTTGATTAGGAACATGCTCAAAAAAATTTAACAAAAAATTCTACCGGGAAAGACTCCAAACGAGGATGTTCGGACGGAGGGTCCTGTCCGAACGTTCGGACCTGATCATTCTTATATATATATATATATATATATATATATATATATATATGGGTGAGTTCAAGTAAAAAGTAGTCTTCCCATGAAAAGTGAGAACAAATCTTGGTCTTTAATTACTTTCAAATGGATGGATTAGATGAAATTTAATCGCAAAACAAGTTGTCGAAAAAAGTGCAAACGTTCATACTGTACACTGGATAGATAATGAACAAAAGTGTACTCATAAGTGTTAAAAAATATTGTTATTTTTTTTAATTTGCGCACATTTTATTATGTACTATAATGCACTTTTGTGTTCTAAATGTGCACTTTTTGCATTTCCTCGTACACATTTGTTACAATAATTTCATTAAAAGTTCATCATAATTACCAAAATGCTTCCGCGTTTCCAACTTAAAATTTGATCTCTTCCATCCATTTTTTCACATCAATGGACAAGATTAGTTCTTATTTTTCATATAGGAACCACTTTTTATTTGAACCAAAGAAACAAATAACAAATTATCAAGCCCCAGTCTTGACTAGAAAAGCTATCAGTGCAATATGCTCAAATCTTTATGTGTTCCCATTGGATGCAAAAATGCAATCTTTCAAGAATGCAGTTGATTTTCAAAGCATCATCATTAGTTGCAGAAATAAAACAATCCAGTTCAGTTTAAACTTTAAAGCAAGCTCATATATACACACTCCCAAAGTGGCAGACCTCCATATTCCTACCTTATTGCCATATTGGAGCTAATCTTTTATGATAATGAAGCGGTGGCAGCACTCAGGGCTTTCTGCAATTCACTCTCAAGCTCACTAGACCTGTTTTCATTAGTCACTTTTGTCTTGACCTCTTTCTTCCCATTGTCGCCCCCGTTTTTCTTTTTGTTCCTCCACTGCTCGAGACCACTTGAGCTCTCAACAATGGGAGCTACTGTCTTCTTCCCAACACACTCTTCCTTAGAACTGCCTGTTTTCAGAAAATGCCCAGTTTTCATAGTTTCCAACCTTATTCTGAATCTGCATCCGATTCCCCAAATCCTCCGGAAAATTCACACCCCACCGGAAACTAATCAACGCCTTCTTTGTTATCTGCATTTCAGTCCTGGCCATAATGGAGAGAGAGACTTTGGATAAAATAAAAAAGGGAGATTTCCCGTAATATGACTAAAACTCATTGAGTTTCTCTAAATATGACTAACCTAGTTTTTTACTATTGTATGACCGAAAATCCAAAAAAAAAAATTGTTTATATTTAATTGTTGAATGACAAAAATACCCTTCTTTAAAATATGTTCATTTTGCATTAATTTCGTCTAATTAAAATTAATGCACTTTATATTGTCGTTACTGCACCACATTACTGCGCATCCGGTAATATTCACTGCACTTCCGCCAAAATTAATTTTGTTCTCATTCACTCTATGAAATTTTTTATAGTTTTTATTTTTTATTTTTTAGATTTAATAATTTCATTATTTTACGCCTAATTAATTATATTGGGTTTCATGGCGAAATTATTGATCATAGTCATTGCACAACAAATTTCTCAATGCATTCAATTCACTGCCATGTACAATACGTGGAATTATTTATTGCGATATTCACTGTCATACTCAACACTTATTGTTCACTGCCAATTTTCAATGCCCATATTCACTGCTAATCCCAATCACGAAGACAATACGTGTATCTATTGTCTCAATAACAATAATCAAAACCTTAGTTATAACGAGGAAAAACAAATACATGCACTTCCATCAAATGGAAAATGGCCGACCCAGTTAAACAACATTTGCATAATTTAAAGGAGTTACACTTCCATCAAATGGAGGTTTATATCTTCCAGAATATAGAGGGATTAATCCCAGGGACGACCCTGTCCCCTCCTTCACTAATCTCATGGCTTCACCATCGCCTTTGACATTAGAAGACACATTAAAACCAAGAAAAGAGATGATCGGTGAACCTAATGGAGAAGGAAGAAGCAATAACCGAAAAAGGCTCATGAGTGCATATTGAGACTTCCGTTTAGGAAAATATGAGACTGAGCAGAGCCGCCGGTCGGAGGGAATCCAGCGGCAGAGGAAGAGTGTTCGCCCAAACATTTGGTAGTGTTGTGATGGGCTTCTTGCCGGTCTAGTGTCTTGCTGCTACTTGCCGTAGGCAATACACGCAGATGGAAACTATGCAAGCAGATGGAGGCGATGATAGAATGAGGGAGAACATTAGGGTTTATTAATAAAAAGTTAAGAGCATTTTAGGCTGTATAAAATATTTATTTATTAAAGTATTATTTAAATATTATCAAATAGGTATTATTTGGGGGGAAAACTTGTATGGTCATATATTGAGAAAGAGGACTAGTTTTAGTCACACGTATGATAATTTTCTCAATAAAAAAGCCTTAATGTGTCAAATAAGAATTAATCTCATCCATCTAGAAAATTAATTTGATGCACAATAAATCTTATCTGATGCATTTTTTCTATTCACAAAAATGTCACCGCGCCAAGATATTGAAGTACATCGGATAAGTTTTATTGAATAAGTCAATTAGATAAGGGTTATTGTACATCAAATTGACAATTTGGACGATTGAAATTAGTTTTATTTTAGATGTTAAGGTTTTTTTTTTATTTGAACCATCCCAATATATCTTATCAATAAATTAAAATAATTATATATGTAAATGGTTGGAATTAGCACTTACTCCCTCCGTCCCATTTAAAGATTCCACGTCCACTATTCTATGGTTAACGTGAATTGTTCTTAATCTTTTTCTATCTATCCAACTTTCATCAAATTTAATTTTTCTTGTTCAAGTATTTTAAACTTTTGATGTAGTTTCTGAATATGTAAATTTTATTTACTAAAAATAATTCTATTAATGGGATCAATCAACTTTATGTTCAGTCAAACATCTTAAACCGAGTGGGAAATTTTAAGTGGAACAGGGAGAATCTTTAGTTGAAAATTCCAATTACTAGTCTTTCCCCTTGGTCTTGGACTTATCAATTAGGGATTTTAGGAGATACCGATCTATTATAAAACTCCAGTTTTGACTTTAAACAGAAATTGACAAATGAAAATTGTATGACCAAAAATGGTATAGAGGAGAAAAAAATAATGTGAAGTACCGCAAATTATACGGTGCAACCGGCATACCATGAGCATGGTATGCCCGGTCTGATACGGCACCGTATTGATTAATAAAAATCACTTACCCTCTTCCAATTTGTAAAATCCGGCTCTAGCAGATTCAAATTGGAACCAGGAGGTAGCCAGCATCGGAAGTTGTCGCAACTCGCAATACAAAAGCTCTGCTACAAAACATCTGGAAGCTTCTGATCCCTACTCCCAACCAGTAGACCTCCGATCGATCTGAAGCTCTGCTACAAAACATCTGGAAGCTGTCGATCCCTGCTCCCAACCAGTAGACCTCCAATCGATCTGAAGCCTGGCCGCCTGACACGAGGATGAGAATCCGACCTTTTGGCTCCTAAAGCTGGGATTGGGCTACCTATCCAAGCTATCCGATGTGAAGATGCAAATACGAGTTTTGTAGTGCTCTCTAGTTCTCTTTTTTTTTTTTTGCAACAAGTGCTCTCCAGTTCTCTTGAAAATAGATTAGGATTAGCTTGAAAAAGTTACATTTTTATTAAAGGAATTTACATTTCCATATATCTCAAGTTACATATCTATTAGTGTGAGTTACATGTGAATTTCCACTGCAAGTTACATCGTGTTTACACATGATTTACATTTTTCATAATGCCAGTTACACCATAATGAGTTACATTTGAATACATTGTATTTCCATTTAACAATAGCGCGAGTAGTGCTGGACTCGGGCCGGGCGGCCCGGCCCGGAACCGGCCCGGCCCGGTTACTGTGAGGCCCGGCCCGGCCCGGAGCCCGGTGGGCCCACCGGTTCGGTTCGGCCCGGCCCGGCTGCTGGGCGGTTCGGGCTCGGGCCGAGGTTTTGGCGAACCGGCCCGGCCGGTTCGGGCCCGGTTCGGTTCGATTTTTAATTTTTTTTTTTTTGAATTTTTTTTAAGTTTTGGGTTGGATTAGGTATTTTGGGCCACTTGAGGTGGTTTGGGGTAGTTTGGGGTTGAGGGGGAGGGGTTGGGGGTTAAATAGAAGAGCCAAAAAAAAAAAAAAAAATATTTCCGGGTAGGCCCGGCCCGGCCCGGTTTGGCCCGGAACCGGAACCGGAACCGCCCACCGGCGGTTCGGGCCCGGGCCCAACTATCCTGGCCCGAGGCCCGGCCGGGCCCGAACCGGCCCGAGTCCAATACTAAGCGCGAGTTACATACCAAAACAAAGGATTTACAATTTTACATCATGAAAAAATGAAACAAATGCAAGAGTAGGGATGGACTCAGGCCGGGCCAACCGGCCCGGAACCGGACCGGCCCGCTACTGTACGGGCCCGGACCGGCCCGGTGAACCGGTTTGTGCCCGGTTCGGGCCACCCGGCCCGGTGGTATAGCGGTCCGGGCCCGGGCCTCCAGTTTAGTGAACCGGCCCGGCCGGGCCGGAATTTAATTTTTTTTTTTTGAAATTTTTTTAAGTTTTGGGTTGGATTAGGTATTTTGGCCCATTTGAGGTGGTTTGGGGTGGAGGGGGAGGGGTAGGGGGTTAAATAAGAGAAGAAAAAAAATCCGGGTGGCCCGGCCCGGCCCGGTCTGGCCCGGAACCGCCCACCACCGGTTCGGGCTCGGGCCTCATTTTTCTGAACCGAGGCCCGGCCGGGCCCAGGCCCGAACCGGAACCGGGCCACCCCTATGCAAGAGTATTGTTCACGCGAATTTTACCCCCGAGAGTACGATGCTCACCGTGCACCGGTTGCACGGTATACGGACTCATGAAGTACGGATTGTTTGTCCCAACACCCAAGTTCCCAACTCCCAAAAGGAAACATGATTTTATATTTGAACAAGAGAGAAATTAAAGAATGAAGTTTATTATTTTTAATATAACACTAATGATTGTTCATGTATCAGTAAAAACTAATTTTGTCAGCGATCCCAAAACAAAACCTTAGACCGCAAGAAGTTTAAGGTTTCACACTTAGTAACAAAAAAATTACACTCGTTGCCCATAATTCCTATATAAAATTATAAATAGGTGTGCTTTTTGAACATAAAGGCTAACGATAACATCACATGTTTTTATTATTATTTTAGATGTGGAGTAAATGTGATACTAATCATACTATGCATTCGTTCACTGTCCGCTATTGGAAAGTTGTCTGTATTCTTCCAGCAAATGTGGGACGTCATCCATCCGCAACTGAAATTCATTAAAAAAATTACACTATGAAAAGAGAGTTAAAAAAGAACAGATATGGAAGCCCCCCAAAAATGTTTACGGTTTACCTGGTGAACATTTCTGATATGATAAAATCGATAGATCTGTTTTCCGAGAAAGCCAGGATCCAGCGACTGTAAAAAAGATTCAACACTTTCTCTGCATAATAAAAAACAGCTCAAATAGGATCTATACATCACTTATTCAGCAAGTTCTTGTCATTTTCGGGCTGGAAACACACACAGCAATGAAGACCAAGGTTTATGGCTATGGAAGTATGCAGATGTGAAAAGCAATAGATGTTTTGATTTATTTTCCTTGCAAACAAATACTGCTCATAGTAGAAATTAAATGTTCTCATGTAAATATTATGCTAAAAGCACAAAGCAGTGCTATTATCTATCAGCCTGTGTTTGGTTAATTTTGTGGGGTAAGGGGGGATTGGAGGTAGTATTAATTTATTCTCATATATATTTAGACGGCTGGAGAGAGAGTTAAGATGAAAAATTATATAGAAATACACGATTAGCCTTGGCGCACCGGTTAAGGTGTTGCTGTGTGCCGAGAGGTCACAAATTCAGTTCTTGGGAGGGGCCTGGGAAGGCTTGCCCCTTATACATCCTTGTGGTGAGACCCTTACCTGAACCCTCGCCTTGAGGGGATGCCTTCATGCACCGGGCTTCCTTTGTTTACACTTTAACTAAAACATATATACCACACAGTTGTTTTATAGTCTAAGACTTGCAAAAGAGAAATAATAGTGAAATAAAAATCGATACTCCCC